CAGAGGGCTCTCCATTTGATAAGCGATGGAGGCTGCATGTGACCCCAGATCTACATAGCTCCATAGTCACCCTTGTGAGTAAAAGACGCTGGGGGCATTATATTTGAATCCCCCTGGTGAAATGGCCATGCTTTCTCCTATCCACCCTTTCATCCATCTGTCCATCTTTCTGACTATATCCATATCCAGTTGTGAACATAATTCCTCTTTTTATAGTGGGATTATATAAGTAGAATTTCCTTTGAACTCACAGGTTCTGTGAGTTATATGTTACCTTAAAGGACATGTTGGTTGTTTTTTGATCAGATGCTGATATTGCCAAATAAATTCATTTGGATTTAGTGAAACTTGAATTTCAGGCCGGCATGGGTTTATGAGATGATCGGTGCGGAGGAATGAGGTGCAGGAACCTCCTAAAGCTCACTGAGCTTTTCCGGGCTGCCGCCGTGCTTCTGGGTCACTTTGAACCCTGGGTCTGTGGCAAGGTGTAATCAGGACAATGATTCAGGGAGGAAATGAGCAAGAAGGCGTGATGACCTGGAATTAGTCTGTCCTCTGGTTTCCCCTCACCTGTCGGCTCAGAGATGACCACACGGTGATGCTGGCGGTGCTGAGGATGATGGCAGTGAGGAGTCTGACAATTCCTAGGTCCCTTTTTATCAGAAGGGTCTTGGAGAGGTCACCCATGCCTTTGATAGCTGATGTCTGATTCCTTCCAGACACACTCCTAGTCTATTATTTTTAAAGGTCTGCTCAATCTTGAGGCCTTGTCTAGTCTTCCTCTCTTCTTGATGGTAGCCTGGATTCCCTCCTTTGACAACCCAAGTTTAGCTTTCCTTTCATTTAAAAAATAAACGATAATAATACAGGACAACATAGGCTCCCCTTGAATCACGCAGCAAAATGATGTTAAAAAAAACAAATGTGAATTCAGTAGAGACTGATTGATGATGACGGAAAAGCTGGGTTGGAAGATGTTGAAGCTGAAAACACCCTTCCCCAAGATGCAAGCACCATATTCACACGATTCTTCTCTTCAAATTCCAGGAAACATGGCCTGAGTGAAATTGAGTCACGCTCAGGGTGTGCCAAAGCTTAGGTGTGACTTTGGACTTTTATTTGCAATGACAATTTCATTTCCTCTTAGAACAGAGTTGGGTGAGCACTCGGCTTGCCCTCCTCTCTTCGTTCCCCCTTGGGAAAGAAAATACCACCAGTCGTTCAATGCCGACATTGTGGCAAGCACTGAGCTTAGATCACGTATCCACATCAATGGTCTCATAAGTGTGGTATCATCACGCCCATTTTAAGAGAAAATTCAAGACCAGAAGGTGGCATTCCAAGATTCCCAAGTGATAGATGATGGAGGGGAAACTTGAACCCAGATCTGTATGGCTCCTTACTCACATTTGTGAGAAAAGTAATGGGGACATTATGCCTGAATCCTTCTTAGATCCTGAATGAAATGGTCATGGTTTCCCCTGTCCACCTCATTGGTCCCAACTTCCTCCCAACTTCCTGCAGCTTCCTACTCTGAAAGTATGGTCCTTCTCCGCCTACATGCACCATCACAGATCAGAGGAGAGAATGGCTCGTGTCACCCACTTACACAGCTGTAGACTCCTTAACTCTTCACCGACTGCTCTGACTACAACGTAAAATAGGGTCTGTTCGTCAGCTCTTCACTTGTTCTCCCTTCCATCTAGGGAACAGCGAGTTTCGCACCCTTGTCCAACTCCCAGGTTACCTGGTGGCCTCCGGCAGGTCACACGTCCCACCATTGGAGAGGTGGACGGGCTTTCCCTGCCCCTGTGGAGGAGAGAACAACCTGTAGACCTGCCTGAGGGCCAACCTCCCAGCGTAGCGTGAGCGGCGATTCAGAGGAGGAGCTGTGCACGTATCCGAGGGCACAGACCTCACCGTGCCAGGTGAGAGCGAGACCAACTCTTGGATGTGACAGACAGTTAGTGCACAGGGCAGTGCGCGTGCGCGCACACACACGAGACTAATGTAGGGTATCGCAGAAACCTGAGGACAAGTCAAATTAGAATTTCTTTGTTTTTTTTTAAATCGAGTAGCCTTTGCACACTTTTATCCAAAATCCTTCAAGAAGGGATAATACCACTATCAACCCTGACCCCCTCTCACCTCCGACCCATCAGTTCAAAGTGAATGCAGGTCAACCATCGATGGAGTCCAGAGGCTAGATAAAATTAACTCAGGTGGGTCTAGCTTCGCTGCCAAGTGGTTGGATACCCTTCCTGGTCCTCTCCAAATGAGGACAACTGGATTTGGTTTTATTGTTCTATTCCTGAATCTCCAAAAAAAAAGCATTCTTAGAACAGAGCATATATATGTTTTGTCTGAAAGAAGAGATATGTGATATCTTTAAATAATAAACCGGAGTCCCAGGTCAGAATTCGGAAAATAGGCGTGGCGAGAACACAGAGCAGGCAGATGCATGCTGAGTGTGGTTTTGTTTTGTCGGACTGTAGTTTTGTCTCCCACCACCTTTGCTGGGGTGGGAGCAGGGCGGTGAAGATTGATCTGGAGATACTTCTGGCCGGCAGTTCCTGGGTGGTGCAGAGCTAAGGACGAGCTGCTAACCCAAAGCTTGGAGGTTGGAGTCCACTGGGGTGCCTCAGAAGAAAGGCCTGATGATTCACTTCTCAACTATCAGCCGTGGAAAACCCTGTGGGGCACAGTTCTGACACCCTTGGGGCCACATGAGTCAGAATCGTCTGGAAGGAAGCTGGCTGGTTCCTCCTCACCAGCCCAGGCCTTGTGGGTTGCCAAGCCCCCGGTTTCTTGCCAAATCTCACTTTAGAGCTATAGTCTCAGGTTTACCTACTAATTAAGGAATTAATGACGAAGGTACGAAGTGCCCTTCTGGACTGACTCAACATGGTGGCTTTGGCTAAGCTCTTTCATGGATGTATTTCAAGACACTCCCTGACGCATAGTCCTTCGGGAGGCCCACTTCTCAATGCGAATGGAGAATCGTCGAGAAGATCACCGGGCAGGTGGTGGATGTCCTTGTCAGCTCTGAGGGACCAGCTCCCCTCCCATGGGGCAGGAATAAAGCGCCAGGCTTGTGGGTGTGAGTGTCCACAGAAACCGCCACGCCCACACTCCACATACCATGGCAGGGTGGTGCCCGTGGCTGTCCTTACCTCAACCTTCCCATCGTTCTCAGAGACAGCGCTTTGACAGTGCTGGGTCCCTCAGGAAATGACCCAGGGGTGCTCAGAAAACCCAAGGCATGTCTTTCCAACCCCTTCCCTCTGCCTGACCCCCGCGTGTAGAAATTCCAGACTCCAACCACATCACCACCAGAATCAAGATCGATTTCTTCATGGGGAGCTGAGGTCACACCTAGCCATGTTTGATACCCAAGCCTGTAGCCACAGGCCCGCATCGCCTACACATATTCCCTGTTGGGGGCATCTTCTCAAGTTGCTCAATTTAGGGAATTGGTGGGGGAAAGGGTGTGTTCTTAATAACGTTACTAAACTACTGCTTTACAAAGATAGAATGAAAAAAAACAACACTAAATATCCCAAATAACATTGAAGTTCTGATTCTTCAGGAAACATGTTAAGACCTTAATAGGACTTAGGATTGCGTCATTGGTAATGACTAGGTGCCCTCATGGTGTAGTGGTTATGTGTTGGGCTGCAGTACACATGGTCAGCAATTCGAAACCACCCCCAGCAGCTGTGCTGGATAAAGACTGGGCTTTCAGTTCCTGTAACCAGTTACAGTTTTGGAAACCCACAGGCCCTTGCTAAGAGTTGGGTTCTGTGTGGAACTGCAAACCCATTCATCGGCATTGGGAGTGTTCTGTTACTCACAGCAGGGTTTCCCTGGTTGGATGGGAGCATCTCCAACGTCCCACCCAGCTCTGAGAGTCCAGGAGCAACAGCAGAGATTGTGCCGTGTTGGTTTTCCACCCCTGGGGCCGGGGGAAGTAAAAACAAAATCAAGCAAACACCTGGAATAGAATGAGCAAGGCCTGAGACAATGTTTCAGTATATGAGAAGCTTCTGGCTGGGGCGCCCGTGGGGCCGGTCCAAGGGTCAGTTACAAGCAGATGGAGCCAGGGAATAAGAGAGCAAGAAGACTCGGTGTCAGGGAGCACAGTGCACTTTATTACAGAATGTGTCCAGCCTCCGGACAAGGACACCGAGTGGAGGAGGCGGTCCCGTTCCTACCATCTCAGACCAACAAGCACTGCTCTGCTGCCTGCCAAGACGTTTCGTTACATGGCAGTGGGCTGTCCTTCGTACTGGAGGCAAACCAACCCCAGGCCCCGTGGGCAGCCCGCTGCAGGCATTCTGGGGGAGCCTCGTTTTGTGTGGCTCTACGCTTGCCTCCCTGTTCGCATCACATCAAATTGCCTTATTTGATTTTACTCCTCAGACTTAGTCGCGGCCCCCTCCCCACCCAGTTCTGGCTCGAATGAAGTTGATTTCATGTAAGAACCTCTCCAAGAAGAGCAGAATTCTGAGCATGAGTTCTCAGTCACATAAATAGCATCAGGAAAATATACAGTCATAACACACGCACACTCTCGTGGAAATCATCTTCAGGGTAAGTTCATGAGGGCACTATAGGGACAGCCTCTCTGTATATAAACACACGCTTGACTCGAATCTCTGTCCTTTGCCTTACAGAGAAGCTCATCGGAGAGAAGCCCACCCTTTACCCCATCCCTGATTTGGGAGAGACTCTTCTCTCACGGCTGAGGGGGTGCCGGCAGTGCTGGCAGCCAGGGGCTACTCTTTCAACAACCCCAGCTTCTTCAGGGCCTCCCTTCTGTGTTCCTCAGGGACACCCTTTGGGGAGATCCTGACACTGATGCAGGGGGGTCGCGGCAGCTTGTCCCGACTGTGTCCTGACAAGGAGAAGCGCTTAGAATCCTGCTCCTGCTTTAGGTCAGCCAGCTTGCCCACTTGGATACCTTCAAAATCCTTCCCTGTGCCCAAGGAGGCTGGGCGGGGCCGGGTACTACGCAAGACACTGGGGGAGATCTTATCCAAGAAGGAGCCCTTTTCCAGAGAAGAGCTGGTTTGGGGACTGGGGTCTTTCTCAGCTGAGAGGTAGCTGCTCAGGCCTACGCCTGAACGCTCCAGAGTTTTGGACTTGAAGTTCATCTGTCTCAGGCCAGGAATGTTGCTCTCCTGGAGGATCAGGCCGGAGGCAGGCTTTGCCAGAGTCGGGGGGCTGTTTGTCCTGGTGGCCTTAGGGATGGACATTGGTGTCGATTTGGCAGCTGAAGCCTTCCCTGGGGAAGGTTCCTGGGCAGGAATCAAAACCTTCCCTGGGGAAGAGGAGCCCAGAGCTGGAGCTGCAGCGGACGCCTTCACAGGAGAAGGTCCCTTTGCTGGAGCTGGCGCTGGCACCTTCACTGCAGATGCTCCCCGCCCTGGAGGTGGGGTCGGAAAGGCCTGAGCCTTTCCAGAAGCAGAAACCGCTGCCGAGACCTGAGCTGGACCTGCAGGCGGAGACAGGGCAGTGGCCCTGGCAGGAGGTTCCTTGAGTCTGAGGGAGCTAGTGGGCTTACTTAAGTGGAGGCTGGATTCATCTTGGTCCTGGGGTAGCCCCAACTTCTCCAGTGCTTCTCTGCGGGCTTTCCTCTGCTCTTGCAGTGAGCCAGAGACCAGGCCAGAATCTCCAGGGGCCACTTCCGAGTGGGGGGACAGCCAGTGGTGGGAGTCACTGTGGAAGCTGCTTCGGCTGCTCTTCAGGACAATATTAGGTGGCAACTTCCGGGGCTTCGGGGCAGTGAGGGGGACCGGGCGGGCATTTGTATCCCCTGCAGGTGGGAGGTGAGCATCTTCAGCTCCGGCATTCGGAGATGACAAGGCAGGAGAAGGCCCGGCTTGTCCTGGGCCACCCACTGAGCCTTTCTCGGTAGGTTTTTGGAACATGGTCCCAGTGGAGGCTTCGGCTCTCTTCTGGGGACTGGTAGCTAGGAGGAAGTGGGCTGTGCTGCTTGACTGCCCTGAGCCCTTAGACCGGAGGTCAGCTCCACGCTGCTCTGGCAGGGAGTCCCGGAAGGCCTCTGGTGGGGGGATGAGCACCACGTCCAAATGAGGTGTGGCCTCCTGGGGGCTGGCAGGTGCCAAGATGCGCTGGCTGCTCTGGCTGGCCCCCTGGCTCTCAGTCTCGGGTACAGGAGCCTGAGAGGCTCCAGAGTTGGGGAGTTGCGTCTCGGTGGCGCTTTTCCTGAGTTTCTGGCTTCTGCTAATGTGGATATTTCTGGGGAGGCTGTGGGAGCCAGACTTGAAGCCCAGGCCTTGGGGCTCAGAGGTTTGGGATGCGTTGAACAGAGTCTTTCTCCTGGACACTGATGCCGGCTGAACGGTTGTCTTCTCGGGATGTGCTGTGAGAGTTGGGGAAGACAGACAAAGAATAGCAGATGAAGTGAGGGCTGCCAGAAAGGAAAAAGCAACTACTCTCTGAACTCTGACCTCCAACTAGCAAAGGATGGTTTTTGACCCTCTGCTCTTAAAGGGGCAGCACTCTTTTCTGGAATAGATCAATAATAGCAGATTTCCATCAACCAAGGATTACGTTTTCATGGTGGTTGTGGCAATGGTAACTCTAGGTTGCTCCAGGACCCTCATGTAGGTGCTCCCCAAGCCCTTATAAGGTGCCTGGGACAGTTCCTTCTAGTTACCTACGGGGCTGCCACATAGCTGGGGTCCATGGGAACATACGAGCAGGTGATTAGCTCCTGATTTGAAACAACTTCCACGTTGCTTTCTATGCACCCCTGGAAAATTCTATAATGACCATAACCATCCCTACTTCAGGGCCTCGCATGGGCTCTTCCTTCCTAGGGAGCTAGGCAGGCCTCTTTGGTCCATGAGCCAAGTGAAGCCCCGTGTCCCGTTTAGTGCTCTATCTATGGGGGATACACTGTCAACAAGTTCCCGTGAAAGGAATGACTAAATTCTTGCGGCAATAATACCAGGGGACCTGGCCTCAGGGATAAAGCGCTCCACCCCCTGGTCCTGTGATTAGGGTCATACTGTGTTCTGCTTCTACTGAGCCAACCCCCCACAGGCCCTCCTGGCTCTCAAGTGAGCCTGTCTGCAGGTGTCTCCCACAGCAGGTCCCCCTCCCACTGCAGTTGAGGGCACTTTCCTCTCTCCTGCTTATCTCTTAGCGCCCCCTCCTCTGGGTCTCCCAGATTAGCTCCCCAGCCAGACTCTCCAGAGCTGGCCAACCACTCAACGTTCCATGTCCCCCGCCCCAAACTGGTCCTATCTCTTTACTATTTCTCCTGAGGGACTAAGAGCTGGCCAAACCCCCTCTCTAGTCAGACCTTTGGTTCTTCCTAGAAAGACTGTGACAGGCTGGCACCCTGGCAGTCCCAGGAACCCGGCTTTCTTCTAGCCAGGAGTGTGGTGGGAGTACAGTTGGTTTTTGCTTTGCCTGGGACCCTGGGTGCGAAGGGCAGCAAGGCGTACACCTTTGGGGGTTGGTGGGAGACTGGAACCCAGTCTGTCTTACCCTGGGGAGCAGGCTGAGTTGGAGGCGGTGCACGAGAAGCCTGGGGAGTGGTGGCCGGCTCAGACTCGTCGGTGGACAGCCCGCTGTCAGCCTCAGTGTCCAAAGATCCGATGGTCTCCTCTAGGAAGAGCAGACACTCCTTCTCCGCAGCGGACAGGAAGTCGTAGCTGCTGTCACTCTGCAGTCAGTGGGGAGAGGAAGGGGGAGAGAGCCCGTGAAACGGAGTCTCGGTGGCAATGCAGAAACTGGCGGGGCCGAGAACCACCCTGCAGTGGGAAGGAATGCTGAAGAGCTGGAAAGCCCTCTGCAGCGGTTACTCTGCAAACCTGCTTCCTGGAACTGCACACAGCCGGGGAGGGTAGAAGACACTCTTTCTTAGGCTGTCCCGGGAGTCCCCAGCTCTGGGAGCTGGGCAGGAAGGTGGCAAATGACCTTGCTTTTATTCCCTCCTGGGTGGATGAGTTTAGGGCTATAGACAGAAGCAGTCCCAACTCCTAGTCTCGGCTTCTCCATATGACCTTGCCGAGGATTTCCCTTGACACAGCAACAAATATACGGGCAACACGCATGGGGTGAGCGTAAGCCAGAATCAGCTTGGTGGCAGTGGACTTCAGATGATTCAGCTCCCATCGGAACATCGGAGCTTAGAAATTTTCAAAGTCCTTGTGTACACTTGATCGACTATGTCAAGGGCAGTGGGAGGACAAACAAGAAATGTGGTCAAGGTCTGGCTGCCAGACCAGAGGAACAATGGCATGATTAGCCACAGATAAATTTACCAAATCACTTATACTTGACTTTGAAATGCATTCCATACTGGATTTTATTTTTGCCCTTGCAGATTTACTTTCTTGATGGCATTTGACTCTGGCTAACAGTCAAAGGGTGTAAATTTCTTAAGCAAATATTAGTTTAAGGGGGTGGGTGGAGAAATCAGAAGGGAATAGGGGGAAGGGAAAGCAACTTAGTCACACACACACACACACACACACACACACACAACCTACCTAAGTAGACAATTTTCATTCTGAAAAAGCACATGGGGATCCTGGGAAGGAAAGGCAATGGTCACGGGATATGGGCATTTCCCATGTTCCACCAGTCCAGGAAGGAACTTGGCATGAGTGCTCTCCAAAGGCCAAGGTTAAAGGCAAATGGGAATGTCAGAAATATGGCGCTATGCCTTTGGGCCAGCTCCTCACCTTCTTTCTAATATTTGTGACACGTCAGCATTGTATAGTCTCCAGACCCACTGAGATGTCCAGGAAAGATTCTGACACAGCGCTAAAGCTAAAACTATGGGGGAGGCAGCTGTGGGAATAATAGCTTCCAGCCCCTTAGAGTTAGTTATCTGTCAGTTGTCTAAGTGGGGGAGGGGGGAGCACCTCAAAGAGAAAGCTTAGAAACCCTAAGGCAATTCTAGGGCTTCCCTGAATACAGACTGCCTTTGACTGCCCTCTCTTCCTGAAAACCTTTCATCTCTGGCACACTCTGTGTCAATGGAATGTGACTATTCAAGTTGACTTCAACCTAATCAAAACAGGACAACTTCTTGTGGCCCCATCATCAATGATCAAAAAGAAATGAGAGACGGATGGTCTGATCTTTGGATGTTGTGTGTGCACTGCCTTTGTGTGCGCACTCCATTTTTACAGTTGGTTGGATGAAATGTTCTTGACCTTCAATACCTAAGCCCATGGTCATTGAGCTGATTTTCTGACTCATACCATCTCTATGTCCGGTTTCGGGACTGTACATCTTTATGAGAACAAGTTGCCTCATATTTCTGCTTCAGAGTGGCTGGGGGGTTTGAACTGCTGACCTCACTATTAGTAGCCCAACACCTAACTCACAGCAACACCAGGGAACCTTTGACATTCAGTGGAGACCTTTCTAATCCTTAACTCTTCCAATACCTTTCTAGAATCTACAGGAAGAATGTGTAACTCCTTAAGGGTTATTATGTATAAAGAGCTAAGAAAAACTTAAGATGTGTATTTGGGCAGAGTTGCTTTCTGAAAGAGAGCCATCTAAACAGTTGATTAAAGGTCTTTCGCAAATAAACACCGGGAGTTGAGAAGCCTAGCCATTTGTGCTCTTTGTCAGACAATTGCTTGTCTACTTGAAAGTGTGTGTGTGTGCCAAGTATTTTATATTACCACGAGCTGGTGAGTGAGACCTCAATATGATTTCTATTTTAGTACTAAGGAGACAGAAGCTCAGAGATGCTAAGTGTTTGCTCCAGGCCATAGAGCTTTTAAGTAGAGACCCAGTTCTGTTTGATTCTTGAATACAGTTTCTTAATTACTTCGCTCCTTTTGATCTGTCAGCAAGACTCAGGTATTCTACCATTGCTGAAAACTTCCGGAATCCCTGTGCTACCAGAATCGCTGTCCAGTTTCCGCCACCACCTCAAATCAGTGCCCGGCCTGCTCATCTCCACTCAACCACCCATACCCCCCCCCAGCCTAATGAGATTGTCGAGGGGGCCGGCAGGCATGTCTCTCTTTGGGACCTTTGCTCTCAGAGGTGGTGCCAACACCCTGTTCTCTCCAGAGCAAGAGGTGACTCAGAGGAAGAAAGCCCGGTGGATGGCTGCTGTGATTCACCCAGAGCAGGACGATGAAAGAGAAGGTGCAGTGAGCGAGGAGGACGGTGGCAGCGCGGGGCAGGGGAGGGCAGGGCAGCTGGGCAGCGAGCAGGCCAGGCTGCGAGACAAGAGTACGTACAGATCCCGAGTGGGTGGAGGCGGCGCTCATCATGCTGTCGCAGCTGCCGATGCGGCTCCCGGGTTCCGAGCCCAGCCCCTCTGGCCAAAGCTGCCTCTCCGGCATCGCCTGTAGCAAGGTGCAGGAGCTGCGCAAGGGGCTCCCAGAGGGGAAGCAGGCAGAAGCGAAGAATGTCCCAGGCCGGGTCTGAAAAGAGAAGAATCAAAGCCACGTGTAAGCCGAGGCTCTCGCTAGGCTGTGCCCAGATCCCGGAGCAGCATGGCGGCAGGGACGCCAAGCAAGCAGAGAGCTGGAAGGGGCCGGGGAACGCCATTACCCGGAAGGACCCACGAGCTGCTCAAATCCTGGCGCAGGGAGGACTACCGTGGAGAGGCAGTCTAGACAGAAAGGAGATCCCCTCTCTTGTCTTAGTCATCTTTCCCCTCCCCTGATCCAAGCAGCTTACCAACAGTTCCATTTCTATAAACTGTTAATATGATAGAAGTTGGGAGCTTCGGTTCTCGGGGTAGATGGACGTGGGATCAAACCCCAGTTCAGTCACTCAGTTAGGCAACTTGAGCAACTGTGCCCCCATCCAGCTGATTCCACCCCAAAGGAGCGTGTGCGGGGTTTCTGAGATGGTCAGTCTTCAGGGGAGCAGCGAACCTCATCTTTCCACTGCAGTGGGAACCCCTCACCTTGCAGTTAACAGCCCATCGCCCAGGTCTACCCAGGATCCTTCCCTCATGCAACAGGCTTATTCAAAGTATTGGATGGGAGGACCCTCAGCAGAATTCAGCTGGCAGCAAACAATCAGGTAGTGAATAGATAACTAACAGTGGCTATGCACTGGGCCATGAGCTGCAATATGAGCCCTTTGAAACTACCAACTGCTCTGGGGGAGAAAGCCCGGGCTTCCTACTTCCATAAAGAGTGACAGTCTCTGAACCTTACAGGGACAGTTCTCCCTTGGCCCCAAGGGTTTCTATGAGTCTGGATCTACTGGATGGCAGGGAAGTTTTGGTTTATCAACATGTTCAAAGAAGCAGGTCTCTTACGAGTACTTACACTTCATACAAGTGTCCTATTGATACAATATTTCATGTAAAGGTGTCCCGTGATTGTTTCCTGCTATCAGAGTCAGCATTGTCAACATTGCCACCACAAACCTTCACCGTAACCACCAGGTCCGGGAGATGTGGTTGCAGTACCTGAAATGGTTGGCAAAGCCATCTCCTTCCTGTGCATCACAATCTGTGTGGCTCAACTTAGGGCCCACGAGATTCCCTGGCCTGTGTCAAACGAACAAGGGAAATACACAACTCCGACCAAGGGGGAAAGTTTCAAGTTGATTGTGACAATAGTAGGAGCCAAATACGGCAGGGCCATCTTTCTCTTGGGATTTCCAAGCACCTTTACATGTCTGTTTGCGGAAAATATTCCTCCAGCATTGGACAGCCCAGGGACCATTCCGCTATGCTAAAAAAGAAGTTCTAAAACAACTGAGATTGAGAGAGAGTCCCAAAGCCTAACAGAGGGTTGGGGAAGAGCTGGTATCAGAGCACAGGCTGGTTGATTTTGAGTCCATATTTCCCCCATAACACCAGGTTGTTTCTACCATCTCTCCTACTTTTTCCCCAATACTAGGCAGAATGCCCTAGGTCCAAAAATAGGTTCTATTTGAGATCTGGGCGGTTAGATATATGGGTAGGTATCTCTTTGGCCTCTGCCACAATTGCTTCTAGTGCCAAAGCCAGCTTTGGGCCGGGCTGGGTGAGTCAGCCTGTCATCTGTACACAGCGAGCAAGCACAGGCCACATGGAGCTCCTCTGCTGCTCAGAAGGAGTCACTTGTCAGGCAGGCTGGAGGGCAGGGCACTGGGGAAGGAAGAAGGCAGACACATGTGCTTCCGTAAGGTCCACAGCGCACTGGAGATAGCAGAGGACGAGAGGAAGCAGAGACATTAAAGAAATCCAATGATAAAGCCAAGTCAGGTGAGATACAGAGCTCCTTCAAAAAGTTAGTTTCCTGGTATCCCATTGAGAGGAATATGAGTAGTCCCTTGGATGAAGGTTAGTCAGTCATCCCAGCTATCCACTATATTGATGACTATCCATTTAGGCTCAGAGATCCATCCCCATCCCGAGCATCCAATACAGTTGATGCCGTGACAACAGAGAGGCTCCCTCGCTCATCAGCCTTAGCATAAAGTAGGTTTTCAAACCATCCTCGATAAATCAACTTGTCATCCATTCTAGTGTCTGCTGGGGGTTAAGCTCTGGGGAAGCTGCTGCTGCTTCTTGGCTTCTAACCTACTACTGCAAGCTTTTTCTTGAGACTCGTTTTCTCAGAAAACATGGGATTCAATCTGTCTGGGTGATGTTTTCAGTTAAACTAGCTTTTATGGACACCTAAGAGGTCGTGTCCGGAGAAAGCTGGGTCTTTCTACTATCTTGAAGAGTCACAGTCTTGGAAACTCCCGGTGGGAGTCCGGTAGAGTCGCTCTGAGTTGGCATCGACTCAGTGGCAGTGAGAGTGAGAAGCGACACAGCCAAACTGCATAAGACAAAGGCTTTGTTTTCAAGAAGCCAGTAGAAACCCAAGGATCTTATTGTCAGCTTCGTCTTCCTATCTTAAAATCGGGACAGGGCGTACTTAAAGTGACTCACCAGAAGGAGTATGGTATCCTCTGTGAGTGCCTGAGCAGACGCTGTCTCTTGCTTTCATAGGAAGTGACCACCCTGGTTCTTCCAAGCATGCTTCAGACTCCACAGGGTTGGGTAGCCTCTCTTTCCTCCCAGGCAAGGCTATCACTCTGTCACTTGAGGAAGCCCTCTAGCAGGCCCAGAAGGGATGAAAACAACTGGAATGGCACCGTTTCATAAGAGCATATGATGCCGTCCCTTACAGGTATGCTAAGCATATCTCCAGCTGAGCCTGCAACCTAGGCAGGATGTGATGTTGTCTTCATTTTGCAGATAAAAATGCTAAGGTGCTTTGTCCTACTCCTTCTTAAAGGAAACAAGCGATGACCTCTAATGGCATGCAAAGGGCAGCCTGTGGATCTCAGGATTCCCAGAGGACATCTCAGGGACTGTCCAGATACAAGCGTGGCATGCACCTAAAGAAATGACATTGCCTACCCCTGATGAAAGCTCTCTGCTCATCCTCCCCTTTCCCCCTCATGCCTTAAGCCCTATAACTGGTCTGGTTTAACTGTACGCTTCCAGGCCAACTTATTGACCCCTTTGACATCCAAATGCTATTGACAATCACATCATCACCACAGAGATGAATCTGAACTTGAAACCGAAGCTGAGTGAGATCGAAGGTGCTTGCGTTTCCTCTCCACACCTAAATGTGTGGCCCAAAGGCTTTGGACTCCTAAAGGGGGGGGGGG